CAGATTGCTTACAATAGTACGCAATACTATTTGTATATATTTGTATATATATTTGTATATATATATATATATATATATATATATATATATATATATATATATATATATATATATATATATATATATATATATATATATATATACATATAATATTTTTCTTGCAGCACACAATATTTATTTTGCCCCATGGCCAAAAAATTAACGGTACATGATCCCTATGAAAACCTATGGGGACTGGTAAAACACAGGAGATAAGCAAGAAAATCATGACTGTTAAGAGAGAACTTATTGAGAAATTAATAACACAGAGATTTTTAAGGTATACTAAGCTGTATTAGTTCAAAAGTTTTTATTAAAAAATGCATCTTTTTTAAAATCCATATATAATATTAGACTGAAACAGGATCTAACCTTGAATCATCTGACCAATCAATACATTTTGTATCATCATATGCACCTAAGCAAGTTCGCATGAGAGTTAATGGAGTGAACTCTCTGTTTGTTCCTGGAGCTTTCCAAATTTGAATACCTCGACCATATGTAACAGCTATATATCTATGTAAAATAAAATTATTTTCAAAAAATAAATTAAACTTAACCCCAGTCTAGTATGTTCTAAATATTCTTGCATGCATAGATAAAAAGCAAATTTAAATCAATATAAATAAGAAGTTTTAAAATGTATGACTTAAACATTTGACTTACTTGCTATTAGGACTGTACTTAATAGCATAAACTTTTTTCTTAAAACTAAAGAAGTCTAACTTGTAATTAGTCTGCAGATTGAAAAGTACACATTTCCCATCTAAATTTAAAAACTATATAATAAAAAATAACTCTATAAAATATTTAAAGTATAAATTTAGTTTTTAAAAACCAGAGGTGGAAAAGTAAAAGTTACTTTTGAATTTGAATTTAAAATATTTAAAATTGTGTAGTCTACTAATTTGGTTCACAATTACTTTTAATTTTAATAATTTTTTTTATTACTATTATTACTACTTTTTGTTGGTACTACAGAAGAGTAATTTAGTAATTACATGTCTCACCATTTTATTGTTTGTACTTTTTTTTTTCAAATACAAATAAATAATAAACAAAAATAAAAAAACAATTTTTTAAAAATTTTAAAGTTAAAGTTACTAAGTAAAAAAATCTAGAAAAGGTAAATCAGCAAGATTGACATGAACAATTTTAAAACTCATATAAAGACCAGATTAAACTCTGATTATTCAAGTAACAATTCAAGAAATTCGATTTAAAAGACAATAAATCTTGATAAGTAATCAATTTAAAATGACATCTTTTGCAGACAATTCTAATAAAACATTTTTGAACTTTTTCTATGCAAATTATATCTTTTAAAAGATGAGGGTTCCAAACTAGGATGCAAAATTCTAATACTAACTTACACTTTGTAAGTTTTTAACAAAAGTTGAGAATTTTTAGAGTATTTAAAGTATTTAAAAGTAGGTAAATGTGAGAGAGTGTAATGGTTGAAATACAAGAGCAGGGATTAGAAAACTTTGTATCAAAAGATACTGTGATTCCAATATCCTGAAATCAATAAGCAGTTTCAATATTGGTAACGGAATTCAATGAATAAGGATGAGTAGATATATTATATCGTAGCATAAATGAAAGCACTTGTTGGTTGATATTTTTAGTTGCCAATCATTGAACCATGCCAAGATTTTTTTAAAAGTGTTTACAAGATAAATGTTGTTGTAATCATTTCTCAATTGATACAACTTAATATCATCTGCAAGCAGCATTATGCCACAATCCTCATCAGTGCAGTAAACTATGTTGTTAATAAATATCAAAAACAATATAGGTTGTAATACAGCGCCTTGTGGTATTCCACTCTTAACTGGAATGTTTTCGGAATATGAGACACATATTGAGAGTAATTAGTTACAAAATTTTACTGAAGTACTTTTTTGTTTAAAGTATTGTACTTCACTACATTTTAAATCATATACATTACTGAGTATATAAATATATGATGAAAAAAAAATGCAAAGAAAAAATAATTTCGCTCAATAATCTTCTTCATTATCCGTTTAACACAGAACACGTTTCATTCAGCACTGATTAACAGATAAGCAGGATAACAAAAACAGGACAAACATTTTTTTTTGACAAATGTTGATGCTTAACTTAATTTTAATGTCTGATTCAAAAGAAAAAGTGAATTTAGGTAATGCTTCATTCAACTTTTAATCAACAGAATACATGTTAAGTTATGCGATTTTATTCAACTTTTAAACAACAGAATACATGTTAAATTATGTGATTTTATTCAACTTTTAATCAACAGAATACATGTTGTTAAATTATGACATTTTATTCCACTTTTAATCAACAGAATACATGTTGTTAAATGCCATTTTATTACTTGCTTTAATACAATGCAAATAATAAAAATTTTACTTTATTTCTAGTCACATAATTTTTTGTAAGTGAATTGCAAAAAATCTGATTTAATTTTGATAAAAAATGTTAATAAACTTATTACTTTATAATTTGTTTTAAAGTTTTTAATCAAGCAAGTTTTAAGTGAAGTTTTGAACAGATTAAACATGGTTTAAGTGAAGTTTTGAAAAGGGTCATGTCTTCCACTACCATGAAGAAGCCCCTATCGTGGTTTATTGAAAAAAAAATAAGTAAATTTTTTTTTCAATAAATTTTTTTAGTATTGTTTTATACAAAACTAACTTATTTCAGTAATAATATATTTTTAAAAAGATTTATTTTTATAGTTTTGAGATGTTTTTTATCTGCAAATGATTTTTTATAGCCTTTTTAAGAAAATCTTTTACATTAAAAAAAAGTTTATCTGTTGTTTTTTTTATGGCTAAAAATTAATTTTTTTTTTTTTTTGCTAAAGGCATAAAATGTTGTAAAAACATTAAATATTTTAAATTTTATCAAAAATAGTAGTATTTTTTGTATAACATTTAACCCTTAACACGGTAGATGATTACAAAAACTATGCTAGTTAGCACTTACCATTTGTGGAAACATTTTTTTGGACATGTTTTATTTTGTTTATTTTTTTTCATTAAAAAACTATTTAAGTTAATCTAAATGACCAAGTAAAGATAGTTTAGCTCTAGGGAATATTCATTTGATATGCTTTTCATATTTATTTATGATATGAAATGAATTATAATAATAAGATTTAAGATTTAAAAAAGAAAAAAAATATTCAGAAAAAGTTTTAAAAGTTAAGTTAATATATTTAGACAAACAACTGCAGGAACATTTACAGCTATTAATTACGGCGAAGAATTAAACAACAACAAAAAAAACACATAAAAAAAAGATACTTAAGAAGAAACAAAGTTCTAATTCAGAGAAAATCTTTAGTTGATAACTTTCATAAAACTAAAAAACCAATGTTTCTTTTATTTTGTAATCACATTAAATTTATGCATTTTCTTAAGGTAAATAAATAAAATTAAAATCAAAATATAAGATTTTTTCATTCATGGTAGCTAAAGAATCAGTTACGGTAGGTGGTGCCATATCATGGCAGGTAAAGAAACATACTAGATTTTATAAAAAATTAAAAACAACATTATAAAAAATAATTTTACTCAAATTTAAATAATATAAATTTCTTAATAATTGAGTATAAATTATTAATCCAAAAACCCTAAATTTAAATCTGTTACAGTTTTGAAGTTATGAAGTTTTAAAGTTAAAAGTTAAGGTATATATCTATAGGAGAAGACATAACCCTAAATCAAACATGTTTTAAATGAAGTTTTGAATCAAACATGTTTTAAGCGAGATCAAACATGTTTTAAGTGAGGTTTTGATAAGATCAAACATGTTTTAAGTGATGTTTTGATTAGATCAAACATGTTTTAAGTGAGGTTTTAAATCAAACTTGTTTTAAGTTGAGTTTTGAATAGATCAAACATAATTTATGTGAAGTTTTGAATAAAACATGTTTTAAGTGATGTTTTGATTAGATCAAACATGTTTTAAGTGAAGTTTTGAAATTCAAATTTTTAGATAGGTAATTTTCTTTTACTAGAGAAATATTTTGCTTGAGTAACACTACTTTTACTTGAATACAAAATTTTTTTACACTTTCCATCTCTGTTAATAACAATAAAAACAATAAAGTTATAATTCAAAAAAATGTAAAAAGGTTCTTTAATAAAATATAACTTTCAGATAAAATTATTTTTGTTAATTGACCTTCATCTATAGAAAGCAGTAGATTGTTATTGGGAGAGATGCACAACCTTGAAATATTCTTCCCATTTTCGAATGGAAGCGTCACAGATTTATTGCTAAACCAAAAAAATTTGAAAAACTCAACAACAACAAAAAAATTCAAGTATTTTATTTGTCATTAAAAATATAAAAACTACCAGCATGTAATTTTAGGAATAAAATTAAAAAATTTTCAACTTTAAAAGTTCAATGAATAAAATACAGTGTAGGACATTAACTAAAACATAAAAATAGTTTTGCACTAAAAATATATGTATTTTTAATAACCATAAAAAAAAAAAAGGAAGAGGAGGGGAGAGTAAAACTTTACTCTCCCCTCCTCTTCCTACTCTACCTTCAATTAATAAATGGTTGAATCTGAAACAAGGAAGCCATTTAAAAAAAAAAGTAAATAATAAAAAATTAATGCTCAATAATTTAAAAAAGCACATTTTGGTTTTTATAAACTTTAAGCTAAAAGAAGGCTGTAGTGAAAAATAAGGAATGAGTTTCTCAATTTCAGTAGTAAAAATTTTAAACATCTAACTTCGCACATATTAGTTGTAATAATTATACTTATGATTTCACCTATTAAACTTCTTATAAAACCAAAAAACCTACTTTTTAAGATCAAAGCATGTTACTCGGTTTCCAACTGGACTTAAAACAGAATCACCACCTGATGTAAATATAACATTTCCTTTCCTGTAAACAGTTCCACATAAATTCTGAAACTAAAAAAAAAATTTAATTTTCACTTTCGATTTAATTTTAAAACACAAAATAATTAAAATAATATTATTGAAAGTTTTAGTTTTAAAATATTAATAAAATAGCTATAAATACCTTGTAGTCAATTTTCATTATAGCGCTGAAATTGTATACTTCTGAAGAAATCTTTTTTTTAACTTATTGTATTATATTAAAAAAGGTAACAACAAAAGTTAATTTTTAATTCAATGTAATAAAAACCACTTAAAACTTATTTAAAAGAAAAAATTTAAGTATTAAATATAAAATTATTTAAAAAAATTAAAAACTTAATTTAAAAAGAAAATATATATTTTTATATACGAAAAAAATAAATAAATAAATTATTAAAATTATGCTGTGTTATAATACTAATTTTATAATTTGTAGTTAATTAATATAAATGCTTAAATTTCTAGAGTACTAATTAGTCAAAAAGTTAGTAAAAATGTGTGTGTGCATATATATATATATATATATATATATATATATATATAACTATAAATGCATGTTTAGATAAGTAGCGTGACAATGTAGAGTTAACAAATGAACTAAAGCTGGCGGTGTCAGTACATACATTGAGTTTCTCGTAACCTGCTGTCTCCAAGGAGTCCTGGTACATCCACTGAAAGTTTGGGATAGGGCAGCAATCTTATATATATATATATATGTATATATATATATATATATATATATATATATATATATATACATATATACACACACACATATATATATGTGTATATATATATATATATATACATATATATATATATATATATATATATATATATATATATATACACATATATATATAAGATTGCTATATATATATATATATATATATATATATATATATATATATATATATATAAATAAAGAGATAAATAAATATATAATATAGATATAAGCAGGAATGTTTTCTTAACGGTTATGAAAGCAAATAACCTAGGAGAAGTAAAAAAACTGTGATAAAAAATCTTAAACTTAATCGGGAAAAAATGTAGGAACCTTGGATGGCTACCTTTTTTAATGATAGAATCACAATAAAGAAACTCAAACCTGATCTGGAAAACAAGTAATGCTCGCATAAGAAAGACACCCAGTTTTAAAAAAAAAGTTTACATGTCATATTTAAAAAAAAAAAGTATAATGGAAACTCATCCAAACCACAAAAGTGTTAAATAATAAGGTTTAATATAAAAAATCAATAAGACAATAAGATATAGTTGAATTTTATTTAAAATATTCATATACAAGTCATAAATATGAAGCAGTTATTAACTAATTCCAATTTTAAATTTTAATTCTAAACCAATACCAGAAAGTATTAAACATGCATTATGGAGGCAAGCAAATGTAAAAACCATTATTTGAAAATGAAAAATTGTTAAAAGCCTTTATTTCGCTATTTATTTTATTAATATTTAATAACATAAATATGTAATTTATTATACTAATAGTACTTTACTATAACACATACAAAATAAGACAGAAAAAAATCTATAGGGTAAGCTATGAGGTAAAGGAATAAACCTTTCTCACACTGTTAAGCCCGAGCTTAACAGTGTCAAAAAAAAAACAGCTATATTTAATTTGTTTTATAACCAAGCTAAATTTTAAAAGAACAACTCAAGCTATAATAAATTTGTTTTAGAACCAAACCAAACTTTAAAAGAAGTTGTATTGGATGAAATCACACAGCATAGTGTTAAATTTCAGAAATTAGAACAATTCTGTCAATTGATATAATTTCATATTATTGCACAATTTAATATGCTAGCACATTACCTATAGACCTCTTTCACATGTGAAACTTTATGAAGCCTTCCTTATAATTAAATTTTCACACTTTTTATGAATTCTAATAATTATTACAATTTTAATGAATCAGTTGAACATTACTACAATCCAGCTACAGTCTTACACAGTTACACTCTATTTACACACTAACATAGTTATTAAGTACTCAGAAAAATACAATAAAATTTTATATTATGAAAAAAAAAAATTATTAAATATAGATTTGAATTCTTTGCTGTTCTTATCTCCATAAAAACAATAAGATTGTTTAACAAGTTAAACTTATTTTTTACGATCAAATGGATCTGACCAAATCTTCATATCTAAAAAAAGTAAATTTATGAAAGATCAAAAAAATAAAACTCTCATATCATAAATAAATAAAAGAAATCATATAAAAATATTATTTTTGAGACAGGTAATCATAGAGACATAATAGAGTAATTTAGGCCTTGCTATGAGATTTTGTTGCATATCGGATAAGAGTAACGCTAGAAAATGTAACTTTACTCAATGTACATATTTATATCATTAAATGTTAAATTATGTCAGTTGCGTATTTTAAAGTACCGCATTATAATTAAATTTAATTTGGAGCCACATTAAAAATTGTTTAAAGATTAAATATCTTTAAATTAAACAACATTGTTATAAATCCTTATTTCTTCTTTATTTTAAAAAATTTCTACTTACTAATCATTTCTTAAAACATTCACACATTATTGTTTTATTTTTGCAACTTAGTTGTTGTTTTTAAATGAGGGTGCAGTTGTTTATGAGTAAATTTCTTAATGGTCAAAAAACAAAAACAAAATAAACAATCAACAATTTTTTTTTAGCATTTTAGCTTTAACAAAATTTTCGTCTACTACTCATAAACTAGTTGATCATTTATAGACATTCATTTGTGATCTATCTAAAAAATTCATGATAATCAAAAAACTTTCGTTAAAAAGCAATTTCAAAACTAAAAAAATCATCTTTTCATAAATTTGTTATATAAAGTTTACTAAGAAAAATCTTCAAAATAATTTTGTCTACAGGCTTGATTATGGTTTATCCGGCAATGCATTTATATACAGTTGTAAGCATTAAACACATTTGGATATTAACACTTGTGTAAGGGATTAAAAAAAATTATTAATTTAAAATTATAAATAAATAAACAAAATAGTTGAATGTAAAGCGAATATAAAAGAGTAACTGAAATTAAATTTGATAAAAATAATTTTCTTTTCTTCAACATAATTTGGAAATTTTTTAAGTAAAAAAAAAAAAATTTCATTTAATAAAATAAATTAAAATTTATTAATTATTTAGTAATAAATTTAATTTAAATATAATTAAGTAAATCTAAATTAAATTTTTTTTTAAAAAACAAAGCAGAAAAATATTTGTTTTTTTATCCAAACAAAAAAAAAATGTTTTCTGTATCAACTATTTCAAAAGACTTTAAATATTCCAATTGAAAAAAGTTTTGGTATAACATAAATGGCTTGATGCCTAGGTAAAATCGCCATTTCATACATAAAATGCAAACAGAATAGCAGACTTTTGCAGTAGTAGTGTAGTGGTAGAGCACTTGCTTCTTAAGCGAGAAGTTCTGAGTTCGATGCCCACCACATCCCTGGTAGTACCACGCTCAACTTGTTTCTCAGCACAGTGGCCTTGCTTGTCAAGGTTCATATTTCGGAGTTATAGAGTTGAGAGAGGGTCATAACCACAGTTAAGTAGCTTCCTCATCTGTAATGGGCTTTTTGGCCTTTGAAATTAACAAAAAAATAAAAACACAAAAAACACAAATAAAAACAGCATAACGCTTCTTAACAAGGCCTGTAATTGATATTAATAACAGTCTGATCAAATAGATTTTAACAGCTAAAACATAGTTTTCATTTTTTGCATTTAGTCCATACTTAAAGACTTAAAACCAAATAAAATAGATTGCATATATGCAAACAATTAAAAACATAAAAATATAATTACTTCCAGGTTGTACTTCTGATTGAACAATATCTTTCCTTGAAACTTTTTGAATGTCTCCTAATAAAAAAAAAATTAAAACAAAACAAAACATATATCCATACTGTAAATAGTCAACAATGTCTAGTTGAATTTGCTGAGGTCACAGGTCTAGTAGTGTGAGGTCAGTAGTAATGAGAAGTCACAGTAGTGAGGTAACAATCAATAGTTACCAAATGTAAAACAAATAAGTTAAACAAAGCAGCTAACATGCTTCAACAAAGCAGCTCTAGCAACTATGTTTAAGTAAATTAATGTTTGAATATGGTAAAGTTTAGGTTCGTGTTTCAAGATAAAACTTATAAAAAAAAAGTCATAAAATTTTTAAATAAATGGAACACATTTTTAATCTAAAAAAACAAATCTTTGAGTAAATTAGTTTTCTAAGTTTTATAAAAATTACAAATATTAAACAGATACACTATCTTTCAGCCATGGTGTTTGCTATATGGGTACAAAAGTTAATTTGCATAGATAATCAAACTTTATAATAAAAATACGTTAAAGCACTTCTTCTTATTTTAATTCTATTTGTCATAAACAGCAAGTTCAAAACTTGATGATTTGTAACTGAAGTACACATAAGTAACTGATATACACATAAATAACTAATATAAAGTACACATAAGTAACTGATATACACATAAGTAACTGATATTAAGTACACATAAGTAACTGATATAAAGTACACATAAGTAACTGATTTAAAGTACACATAAGTAACTGATATAAAGTACACATAAGTAACTGATATAAAGTACATATAAGTAACTGATAATAAGTACACATAAGTAACTGATATAAAGTACACATAAGTAACTGATATAAAGAACACGTAAGTATATTATTAGTTTTATTTTCAGTGATTGTCTTCAATTGAATTGTTAATTATATAAACATGCTTACACTAACAAATCATTCCTAGTATTATATATGTTTCATGCACAAGTATTATATCTGTTTCATGACCCTAATAAAGCAGTTAGAAAGACACGACTTGATAATCTCAAAACCTTTCCCAGATACACCATATGAAGGAAGCTTATGGAGAAGACCGGCATGCCAAACTTTATCAAAAGCTTTAGGTATGTCAAGAGCAATAGCCCTAGCCTCTCTGCTTCCATCTAATGTATAAAAATTTTCAGTCACAGCAGTTAGCAAGAGTGAAAGGATCCATATTGATTGTCTGAGAGTTATTTGACTCAAGATGGGATGTGAGAAATTTGTTGATCAAAGACTCAAACACCTTGCTGAGAACAGTAAAAAGACTAATAATTGGAGGGGTCAGAATGTTTTTCAGAGTTTTTGAAAAATGGAGCCACAGATCCCATTATCTGCAGAAAACAAGAATCAGTCCAGTATTTATTAAATAGTTTAGAGAGAATTAAAGAAAGTTCTGGAGAACAATTTTCAAAGACTGATAGGAATGTTGTCTGGACCACAAGCTGTGGAAGAGTTTAATTCACAAATGACTTAAGCAACAGAAGCTGGGGTGATTTGAATATCTAACAATGGGTTTCACCTGTTTAATTGAAATGGATGGTAGAGAATGGTCATAAGATTCAAGAGTCAAATTAGAAGAAAAGTTTTTTGCAAAAAGTTCTGCCTTATTTTTAGGAGAGGTAACAAGATCAGTCCTATGAATGAGAGATAAAATATTAGACCTAACCTTGTTAATGACACTGTTAAAGATTTTCCAAATTTTCTCGTATCTTTTGAGATAAGATATTTAGTGAACTGAGCAAAATGAAGCTTAACATCAGACATCACCTTTATACACTGATTTCTTGCAATAATAAATAGCCATTTGTTCTCAAGAGAATTATTCTTTTGAAAAAGATGAAAAAATTGATTACAATTAGATACGGCAGCTGCAAAAGCAGGTGAAAACCATTAGGTAGAATTGACTTGGAACTGACGAGAATAAATAAAAGCTCCTATTTCTGCGTGAATTCAGGAAGAACACAGGCTAGGGTCGAAACAAGACATAAATCAAGGAGTGAAGGTTATTAGAGTTGATCAGGAAAATGAGTCACAAAGATAACTACCTGAGTAAGAGATTGAGAAATGTAGAAGTTATAGGCTTTAGTGCCAGCAGAGTCAGTGGGGTTAAAGCTAAGCCATTTAGTGTGATAAGCATTTAAGTCACCAATAACAACAATATTGGCTGAGGGGTAAAGAGAGAGAGTATGGTCAATTTGATCAGAAATTATATCTAAAAGAGAAAGTTGATAGAGTGAAGAGGTGTTATGTGGAAGCACATAAAAGAATGGTCAAAGGATTTAAACCTGATTTTGTGACAAATAGATAAATTAATGCATATGTACACCCCAAACCAAGGATGCGACTATTAGATTCTTTTCAAATCAACACTGAGATCTGAAGAACCCATCAACACTGAGATCTGAAGAAGGAATAACAGAATTTAAATTAGTCTTACTAAAAGCAAGCAAGTCTGGTAAGTTTTGCAAGAGGTATGGTTCAACTGATGAAAGGTTTTGCAGACCCTTAATATTTTATTATTATTGCCAAAAACTATACTTAAAACCTTATGTCACCAAAAATCTAACTGAAAAAGCGACAGTAACATTTAAAATTAAAATTTTAAAGATATATCACTTTTTCAAGAAAATACTAAAAAAATATTAGCAAATACAATAAAAATAATTTAACTGTAGTTTAAAAAGTTATTTAAAAATATACTACTAGTTTAGTAGTATATTTTTGAGTAACCTTTTACTAGTTATTATAAAAATATAATAACTAAAAATATTAATATATATATAGATCATTCTCTAAAAAAGTAGCAATATGTTCCCACTAATTTTTTTTTTCAAGTTAAGACTATTTATATTTTAAACCAGTGCAAATAACAAATATACAGCTAATACAATATTAAACTGATGAAAACCAATCCAAAATAGCATTTTTAGTGAATAAATAATGTTCCACAGACTGTGACAAGTCACATTCGTGGAATGTCACCACCCAGACTTTTTGCTTATCCCAAGAAGTTTAAACCTTGTTGCTAGTACTTTACTTTTATTTCAATATATAATAAATAATCAAGAATACATTAAAATTAGAGTTGACACAATATTTTCCTCAAAACATATTTTTAAAGTAGCTTTCATGTAATTGTCACCACCTAAATTGTCACACTCTTGTCACCACCTTGAATGTCACGTGTGTGAATAGAAAAAAAGCTGTAGGAGGCAGCAGTAGTTCTCTATGTTGCTGTTCTAGCTAAACTATCGGATATTTTTACTAATGAGTAATAGAGAGGGAATTTTCGTGTAGTTGTTTAGTGCTGATAAGTGTTAAAGTTTTAAAAGTTGAATTTGTTAGTCTTAGTGTGTCACATCTGTGGCAAACATACTCAGGGTAAATAATTTTACTTTTTTATAAACAATTCTTTTGTTTAATAGCAATTACCTAGGCATATTTACTCCAAGGGGAACAGAGTCCTAGCCTCAAAACATAGCACTCCTTTTAGGGTTTTTCCTACAATTTGTCACGCCTGTGGATGTCACGTCTGTGGAGTACAGAAAGCAACAGACGTGACACACATGGAACGGATGTGACAATAAATGACAATTTTACCTGTACCTGAATTTTTTAATGCCTATTTTTAGCATTTTTAACATTTAAAAACTTTGCTTATATACATAGATTATCCTAGTCATATTTTAAAAAATCCGGAAAATGGTTTGGATAAAACATCCGGAAAAAATCTGGAACTTGTTTTCCCTTATTTTCTTTTTAATTTCGCTTTTAGTTAAGTTGTTTCTAATTTTTTTTTGTTACTTTTCATAATTTTTTATAAGTGATGAGTGAAAAAGCTTAAAAAATAAATATATTACAAAAATATATACCTCATCTTGCATGTATTGAAAATATTTTGGATATCCGGAAAAACTAAAAATTGAAAAAAATATCCGGAACTCCGGAAATATCCGGAAAAAGATAATTCCTGTATATAGCTAATTAATTATTATTGAAAAAATAAATGTTTCTATCCAGATAGTAATAATTTTTTCTTTACTTACAGTTAACAAAAATAGGAAAGATGGAAAAAACTAGAGAATTGAAAAAGTTAAGTATGCGGAAAGCGAGGGAGAAGATGAAAGCTGAAAATACGGACAAATATGAATAACAAAAATGGAAAGATAGAGAAAGAAAAAAGCAAAACAAAAGAAAATTCATGAACTTTCAGAAAGGGATAAAAGATCAGTAAGAAAAGGTTGGAAAGAAAGGACCAAGAGAAGTCGGGAAATGAAAAAGAAGAGCAACTTATTGAAAGTTTGTCTACACCACCTGAAAGCCCAACTGTAAATATTCCTATCGAAAATGAAATAGGCATAAATGTACTTCCTAGTCCCAGTCAGGAATCTAGTTCCAGAAAAAGAAGCGGGCTAAAAGTTCGTAGAAAAGATAGAGATAGGCTGAAGAAAAAAATCCAAAAATTAGAAAAAACAATTTGTTAAAGCAAAGAGGTGATAAATACAAACAAAAATTCTACAGACTGCAATATGCAAAAGATAATACTCGTCAAAAGGTGTTTAAAAAAATGACCAGTGCTACAAAATGCTTGAAGGAAGTAAAGAAAAGCTTGCTTTTTAGCAAAGTGTTAAAGACACAAACACAATTAAATTTTTCTATTGAGAGTTGTATTGACAAAAAAAGGATTTTGCCAGAGAATTAATCGGAAAGATAATAAAGAAGTACAGACTTCAAAGAAGCCTTAACAATCTTACTTCAAGATATATCTTACCATACAACTTGAAGCAGCCCTCAAATGTACTAAAAAAACAAAAACTTAAAATGGAAGTTATGAACTTTTTAGAAAAAGGTAGTTCCAGTAGGCTTACTGCTGGAAAAAAAGAAATAATAACAAGAAACAAAGTGAAAAAACAAAAAAGACTATTAAATGATACAATGTTGAATTTGTGGAATGAGTTCAAACAAACAACTGAGTTCAAGTATCTTATAGCACATTTTGCAAATTAAGACCCTTTTGG